AGGACTTGCTCAGGGCAAAGCCTTCTGTGCAGCCAATAGGGTGGACATGGAAGTCCCAGGGCAAAGGCTAGACAGAGCTGGACTATTCTGATCAGGAGAGGATGGAGAAACAGAGGAAGTTGTTACTATGAAAAGACAGGCTATAGAGAAGAAATTACATCGAAACCCCAGTGGATCACTGACAATGGACACCAAGGATGCTAACAGGGATTGTTAACATTTAATTTTGGTTTCTTGTGTTCGCACAAGACCCTGGTAGATGGCTGTCTAACTGTTACTCCTTAGCACAGAACTGTGCAGATCTTCCTTGCACGTGAATTTTGTTGCAGATAAACCAAAAGGGAAGAGTTGGAAGGGCAGGAAGGAGGGGAGGGGATGCTTCTTCTCAGACTTTAAACACTGTGTTTGTCAAGGGCTTGTCCTAAATGACGTCATCCAAGGGCCTGCTGTGCACTTCTGGGATGAACAGCCTAGACAAAGGAACCTGGTGAGACAGGAACCTCTGGGCCTCCAGCAGGCTGACAAAGAGCAAAGCTTCTGCCGTCCTTATCTGAGACGTGGAATATGCTGGGTGTTCCCTACAAGAACTAGGGATGCTAGCTGGACTTTAGGGAGATGTAGGGGTGCTAAAAGGAAGCCCTGGGTTTCCTGGTGCAGGAACAAGGAGACTGTTTAGGAAGCCTGGCCAAATGGTTGTCCAGACAGTCCTGGCTGGTCTTCAGAAATAGGGTTCTGGATATACAGAGTCTTCTCTACGGTCTTCCTGGTTTAGGTACTGTAAGTGCTGCCACAGGTGGAGGCCACACTGTCCAACTCTCTGTGTTGTGCAGGTTCCTGCAAGAGTCACAGCCAGCAGTAAAATGATCCTTGGAGACGCAAGAATGAAACTGTCTTCAGCACAGCTTACTTAGCCAGGCTGGTGCAAACTTCTGGAGTCTGACCCCGAGCAGTTTCTGTTTTACAAACTTAAACAGCAAAACATTGGAAGAAATCTTCTCCTGACAATTATCACAACAAAACTTACAGCCTGGCTATACTGAAACTCCTTCACCTGTGAACTCTTCCACACGCATGGGCTCTGTTGCCTGTGAACAATGCTCAGGATAAGGGCCTAGGGAAGAAGAGTTTGCAGTAAGTATAAGGATGGGCTCTACTCCCAGAGAACAATGCTCACATGAAAGGTTTGGAATAAGCATAAAGACAAACTCTTTGGCACAGTACAGGGGCCTCTTTCATGAGGATGGCTTTTATTGACTGAGAAACAACCAACACTCAGGAGTCTAGGGGATTCAGGTGAGGCACCCTAGAGTAGCAAAAGATCACCAGTGGTTGTTATTAAATAACATCCACCCCAGCCTTCCGGGTGAACAGGTGTCAACTTCTTACAGTGAAGAAAAAGCCCGTAACAATTCTCGTTTCTCTAGTGTTATTTGTAAGACATGGACCCATGTCCTTCTATACTGTGTTCCAATTCATAGAGACCCTTAAGAATACTTACTGCAGGGGTGTCTTAATTAGGGGTTTACTGCTGTGAACAGACACCATGACCAAGGCAAGTCTTATAAAGGACAACATTTAATTGGGGCTGGCTTACTGGTTCAGAGGTTCAGGCCATTATCATCAAGGCAGGAGAATGACAGTATTTAGGCAGGCATGGAGCTGGAGGAGCTGACAGTTCTACATCTTGTTCCAAAGGCAAACAGGAGAAGACTGACTCCTCAGGCAGCTAGGAGGAGGGTCTTAAAGCCCACGACCACAGTGATATACTTCCTCCAACAAGGCCACACCTACTCCAACAAGGCCGCACCTCCTAATAGCACCACTCCCTGGGCCAAACATATTCAAACCAGCACACCAAACATTTATAGCAAACATACATGCGAGCGCACGCGCGCGCACACACACACACACAGAATGCTTCTCATTTTTCATCTCAAGACTCCTAGTGAGGTTCTAAAGACAGGAAAGGCCTCTAACTGGTCCTGGAGGAGAACTTTGCAGATTGCATTGCCTAGAAGCTCACTGGCATATCCTCCCCTGGTTCTGTGCTGGGTCCTGGAATCCCAACAGGAATAAAGCCTTGTCCCGAGGGCATCCAGGAGAACAACAGTTAGGACCAGCACCACGTAGTAAGCACAAGGCTGGAGGAGGGAAGCTATGGGTCACGGCAGCCTTAATGTGATATTTTCATGTTAGTGTTTCCAAGTTGACTCAGTGGAGGCCATTTCTTTACGAATCCCTCCTATTTTGCAAGTTGAACCTTGAACCTGCCCTTTTTAGCATTAATTGTCATCTTGACATAGCCAGGGATCTTCTGAGAGGAAAGCCTCCATTGAGGAACTGCCCGAATCACATCAGTCTGTGGATGTAACTGTGGGAGCTCCTCTTGACTGTTAACTGATGTGGGAGGGGCCAGCTCCCAGTGAGTGGTATCCTTCCCCCACACCCCAAGGTGAGGGAGAACAATATAAGAAGGCTACCTAAGAATGAGCTCCGGCCAGCAAATAGCATTCCTCTACAGTTTTTGCTTCAAATTCCTGGCTGAGTTCCTGCCCTGACTTCCCTCATGAATGACGCGGAAGTACTTCTTTCCTCCCTTAAGCTACTCTATCAGAGTACTTCAACAGAGCTGAAACTGGGACAGACTCCATGATGTTCACATTTTTGAGGAAGAAACTTCGGTTAACCCTCAGGGTGTGTCCCTGGCACCTAACAGAACAAATGCCAACTCTGTTTTCAGTCTGTCTGTCTACACAGGTTTGAACACAGTAGTCTTCACTAAAACTCACACCACTGTGCAAGTCCTCTGTTTGTAGTGCTGGGGGACAAGTACTTGTGGGCAGCACCTTCTGAAAGCACTGCTGGTTTTCTCCTGGGAGTGAACTCTTGTCATCACAGGACCGGGGTCGTTAGTGTCCCTTTGTGTCTTGTGCCTGTGCCTGCTTACCCTTCTGAGTCCTCCTGTGAGTTGACAGCACAAAGCACAAGGGAAGCCAAACAGACTCTGGTGTCATGCATCTGACAACAGATGAAACACTGAGAAAATGCAGCCTGCCTTGTAGACCAGCTTTTTCTTACTTCTACCCATTTCTCCCTCCTTCTGGAAAGGTAGAGGCACTGCTGTGATTTGGGAGGTACAGAGGGACTTTGAAGTCAGGTAGCTGCTGTCCAACAGCAGCACCTGGGGAAAGGTTTCTGATCTCTTGAAGCCTCAGTTCCTTCGTGCATAAAACTGAACCTAGACGTTACTTACATAGAACAGCACTGGGCTGAGACTACCACTCAAAATCCAGAATCTGTAGTGTCAAAATTATTCCATGCACTTACATGAGGACTGTTTTGTTTCTCATCTTAAATCCATACATATTGTGCCTTGTATTATTGCCATTCTGTTTTTTATTGTTATTTTATTGTACTTCATTTTATTTTAATTTGCGCTATATCTGGAAATCTACCTGAAGTTTAAGTGACCCATGAATGTCAAGGATTGACACAGACTAGTGAACAGGATGGGCTCAGTAAATGGAAGCCATGACAGTTTCTAGAAATTCCTCAAAAAAAGTATCCAGAAGACTTCAGGGAGAGTCAGGGACATCCAACTAGATGTAGGCCCTATTTGGAAGCACTTTTCTGGGCACACTGCATGGATAAGACAGGTAAAAAAAATAAATAGGACCTATTTTTATTCTCAAAGGAAAATGAGTAACCATCAACCTTAAGTCTATGGGTACTATGCACGAGGCACATTCAGAATGACATAGAGAACATGAAGAGTCCCCCCAGCCCCCTAAAAGAACACTGAAGACTGGGTGACCAATGAGGAGCTAGGAGTGCCAAGCAGATATTTCAGACATCAGGCTAAGAGAGAATATGTGTGAGAGCACTTTGCAGCCCTTCTGGCCTGGAGATAGATGTGAGTGGCTAGTTCTGTATCCTGGATGCCATAGTAACATAGTAACGTAGTCTCATAGAAGAAACTATGTATTGTGATCCTGAAGCAGTGACACCCCCCTCCAGTGCAAGGTCTTTTTAAAAAAGACATAGTGGAGTCTCTTGTTACATTCTCCCACCCCAACTATAAAACAGTAAGATGTAACGAGAATGTTCTCCCCTCTCGATTCTCTGGCTCCAGATCGGACTCTTCTCAGATCTGTGTTCTCTTGGTGGCCCTGGTGGAGGGATGAGGAATCTGCCCTTCCAAGCCTGGCTCAGCAGGCTGGATCTTGGGTGAGGACTGAACAGCTAGGCCAGACAGCAGGCCGCCTAGCTGCCCCCACTCTCTGCTGGCAGACCCGGCCTTGGCCTGTTGTCTGCTTTCCAGCTCTGATTCTTCTGCTCCCTGGACACTGGCCATAGGGTTGCTCTGCACTCGTTATCTGGAACTGTCAGATCCTTTGGCTCAGCCTGTCTCTATCCCTGTGCCATCCCATGGGGCTGTGTTTGCAGGCTTGGCCCCTCATGGCTCGGGAAGGATGCCAGAGCAGAAGGGTTCAATACCCATAATACTCTTTGTGTGGGGCATGAGGGGCCATTGGAGGCTCTATTGGCACTGACAAATAGTACTCACTCTGTGGGAAGCCTTGAGTTTTCAGAATCCATTAGTAAGCAGAAAACTAAGTTTACAAGCCAGTGTGCCAATAACTTCATAATATATAGACTCATGATTCATATGTATATTATCTGGATACAGCCAGCCCTCCTGTAGTCATGGATTCTACAACTCCCGACTAAACGAATCACAAACAAAAAATATTTGTTGTAATTGTATCTGTATTTAACAACGACAGATATTGTTCCTTAATTATACAACTATTAGCCGGGCAGTGGTGGCACACGCCTTTGATCCCAGCACTTCGGAGGCAGAGGCAAGCAGATTTCTGAGTTCGAGGCCAGCCTGGTCTACAGAGTGAGTTCCAGGACAGCCAGGGCTACACAGAGAAATGCTGTCTCAAAAAAAAAAAAAAAAGCCAGAAACAAAAACAACAAAAAAAGAAATTTTTGTGCTCGCTTTGGCAGCACATATACTAAAATGGAATGATACAGAGAAGATTAGCATGGCCCCTGCACAAGGATGACATGTAAATTTGTGAAGCATTCCATATTTTTCCTACTTAAAAAATAATAATACAACTATTAACACAATCTAAGTTAACTGAGGATTGTTTAAATTTTATAGGATGGTATATGCACGTCCGTTGCAAATACTGAATCAGTTTATATAAGGGACATGAGCACTTCAAGATTTGGGCATCTGGGTTAGAAGCTCCAGGAAACAGCCCCCTGTAGATGCCAAGGGCAACTTCATAAACATATGTGGACATATGTGATACTATATATAACTACATATTCATGATCCTATTCATGGATGCATGTACGTGTATAAATGGGTGGATGTCTGAAATACACACAACTCAGGCATAAGTAGTGGTGTAACTATAGACATCCTGGGAAGTGATTGGGCAGCATGCCACTATAAGTAGCAATAGTTAGATTTTACCTAGATTTAATTTTCTCCTTTTATTTAGCTCTACTTTTTAATTTTCTGGAAATAATACACATGATACAATAAAAATAAAGGAGGGGGCTGAGGATCTGGCTTCATTAGTAGCGTGCCTGCTCCGCATGCACAGAGCCTCTGCTTGGCTCCTTAGCACGGCATAGACTGGGCTTTGTAGTGTATGTGTGTGTATTTGTATATGTGCGCATGTATACAAATGCATGTGGAAGACAGTCCAGCCTTGGGTGCGACATCTCAAGAACCACTGCCTCTGGGTTTTTGTTTGTTTTTGTTTTTTTGTTTTTTTAAATCTTGAGAGAGATTATTTAGTTGACATGGAACTTGCTGATTCTGTTAGACTGACTGACCAGCAAGTGAAGTTCCAGGAATCCTCCTGTTTCCACCTTCTTGGTACTGGGATTATACGTGAAGAAAGCCACTGCACTGGGTTTCTCTTACACGGGATCTGGGGACTAAGCCCTTTACTGACTGAGCTTATCGTCCTGGCTCCCTTCACCATGTATTTAATGCATGCTTTATACACAGGCTAGAACCCTGGGAGGCTCCTCTGGACCTGAGAATCTGCACGATATTGGAGACTCTCCCATCCTTCTACCCCTCTCAGGTCTGCACATTTCCTCTACAGTCCTGTTCTGATGGACAAGAACCCTTTCCCTCTGCAACTCTTCCCTGCCTCCCTCTCCCATCTCCTTTTCTTCTCTGTCCCTCCAGTCCCCCTTTCTTTCTGTCTATCTCACTGTCTCTGATATCCAGGACCTTCCTGGGCAGTGCCAGTCTCTTTACTAAAAACTATACTCCCAAGTGAGAAGCAGGCAAGCATCTCCCACACTGCTGGGTATATGGATATCCCTGGAGCCTGGCTGTGTCCACAGGTCCATCCCAGCCTGGATCTGAAGTAACTCAGTATGCAGGCCTGGGTTGCTCCCAGCGTGCTGTCTTCTCTGACTGGATGGCAGAAGAACTTCTGTCTCCATCCTCTGCTGAGTATGAGGCACCCGCTAGGAGCTCCATCTGTGGGTCCCTTCACTGGATCCCTCAGCCAGGACACAGCAGCTAAGGCTGTGCTCTTGTCCCAGGAACCACAGAAAGTCCTCTGTAGTCCTACCCAGACCCTAGCAGAGCAGAGCGTAGAACTGGTGTGTCTTGCAGAAATAACACAGAATCCTCTGCTTGGAGCCACACTGGTAGGTACTGAGGTTTTGGCGTTTCCTAATGAGGCATCCTGCGCATCTCAGCTCAGGTACCAGGAGGCAGAGCTGTCAGCAAATGAGAAGAGAGGACAGTGGAATCTCATATCTGTGTTCTCTCTGGACTTCCTATTACGGCAGGGAAGATGGCAGCAACTGTCTCAAGGGATGAGATTAATGAACAAATGTGTGAAGTGTTCAGAGTAGACAAGGACAACAGCTGTTAATAGGAGTAGTGCTAACTTCGGTGGCCTGGGGCCAATCCCTTCACCTCTGGAAGCCTCGATTTCCTCATCTGCAAGAGAGGAAAATAAAAATAGGCTCTCTACAGAATTGTTAAGTGGGTGGAGGAAAATCCTTGTATGCTATAAATGATTGTATCTACAGTTGTAACCAATGGAATCTCCCTTCTAAAGCAGCTCAGGTCAGGTAGTTACTATCTTTCAAAGCTGAGCACAGTAGCCATTAGCATCCATCTACTTAAACACACACATACACACATGCACACACACACAGCCACGCAGCCACACACACACACACACACACACCTATGAAAGGAAACATCTGAACCATCATGTTTGAGGATCCAGTCCCTCTCAGCTCTCCTGGATTGGTCTTCGTGAGCTATGAAGTCCACTGTGGCCAGTAGAGAATGCAAACACTTGGGAACAGACTGTGGGCACAACCTGCAAGGTGCTTTTGTGTGAAAACAGAAGGGAACCCTTTCCCTGGGACACACCTTGAAAAATGAGATTGTGTTAATGATGATTGTCAATTTGACAAGATTTAGAATCACTGAGGAAACACACCTCTGTGTCTGAGAATCATCTAAGAGACACACCTCTGGATATGTTGGAGAGTGGAGCCCATGATTACAGAAGTTTAAATGGGGAAGAAGGTGACTTTTAAAGTGGGCAGCTCTCTTCCATGAACTGGGGTCCTAGAGTGAACAAAAAGTAGAAAGGGGAAAAAAACCAAAAACAACAGAGGCCTAGCATCCGACCCTTCCCAGTTCCCACTACAGTAACCAGTTTCTTCACATTCCTGCCGCCATGCTTTCACTACCATGATGGACTGTAGCCCCCAGACCATAAGCCAAAATAAACCCTTCCCACTGTAAATTGCTTTTTGCCATAGCAACTAGAAAAGTAATTAATACTGGTAGAAACTGGATCTCAACTCTTGCTTACCCTCTCCTGCACAGCACAACCCTGTTCATAAGGCCTGAATATAGGCTGCAAACTTGAATGTCTTCTGGGCAGCCTAAGGTGTCAGTGGGGTGAGCCAAGTGGCTCAAATGTGAGGCAGAAGGAAGGGTGGGAACTACAGTTGGTGGTGCAACAGCCAGGCTGGGAGTCTCTGGAGTGACTGTGACCAACTTGGAAGCAATACCAGATGCTGGTGACTTCATAGTCAACTGGAGAAATCTACAGAGCTGACTTATGTGGATGTCTCAGGTCTCTGACCATGTGTTCACCTCTCATAACTATTCCCAATCTCAATCAAATAGCCCCTTCCCGGACCCTTTTACTGTGCTTCTTTCTTCTTCCAGATGCCACCAACTTCATCAAAGAGCTAATCCTTCTGAATTTAGCATAAAGAGCTGACGAATAGCTCAGATGATAGAGCTTGCCTAGTATGTGTGCGGCCTTAGATCCCATCCCCAGCCCTGCAAAAACAATTAAAAAAAAAAAAAAGGAGACAAACTTAGTAGGAGTATCACTTCCTCTTTTGAATCACAAATATCCTGGCTGCTGTTTCCCAGAATCCCTGCTACCATGAGGAAGAGTTAACCCCAGGAATTTCTAGCACCAGGTGGTTGTTACCACCTCAGGGACACTTCCTTTTCTATCTGGTTAGTTCATTTGCTGTTTGACACAATCTAGAACCACCTGAGGAGAGAGCCTCAGTGGGTATTGTCCGAGTCAGGTTGGTCTTTTGGACATATCTGAGGAGGATTCTCTTTAAATGAATCGATATGGGGAGACCTAACCCACTGTGGGTTGCACCATTCCTTAGGCATGGGGTCCTAAACTGTATGTGTGGAGAAACTGACTTAAGTACAAGCAAGCAAGAAACTTGGCCTTCGTGCACGCTGTATGCTCTTGGCTGTGGGTGTATTGTGACATTTGAGGTTCTTGTTTCATCCCCACAATGGTGGACCTAATCTGGAGTTGTGAGTTTAGACAAGCCCCTTTCTCCTCAAAGTTGCTTTTGTCAGGATATTTTAGCAGAGCAACAGAAATGGTGTCACCAACAAATTCACACCTTCCTAGTCCTCTGTGACATTGTTTAGCCTGTACACATTCAGTTGCCATCAAAAATTTAATTATCAGTTTGTGGCTTCCCATTTGTTTTTCCTCTATGAAGTACTTTCTTTGAAGTACTCAGAAAGAGAGAGAGAGAGAGAGAGAGAGAGAGAGAGAGAGAGAGAGAGAGAGAGAAGCCTTGTCTGGTTCTGTCACTTCTGAGCACAGGAGTCTCCATTTCAAGAAAAAGTTTTTCCAATAACAACTTGGCCCTTGGCCCAGACAACACCCTACAAGGCTTAACACCAGTCTCCAGCACTGAGACAGAGGAGGATGGGCACAGCCAGTGTCCTAGAGGTACCCAGCTGAGTGCTCCCACTGGGAGGATTTCCATGCATGCTCTAACACCTGTCTTCTCTGGTTTGTCCCTCACTTCTCTACTCTGTTTCCTTTGTCCTGTGGTCAACTGGTGACCTATAACTTTGTCACTCAGTTCTTGATGTGTCTGTACAAGACAGGACTGTTACAACTATTCTGTAGACAGTTTACATCCTGGGATGTTAAAAGGTGCTATGTTTTTTAAAAAGTTCTTTGATGTACTAAGTTTCAAAAGCATTAAACAAAATTTCTCCGGGGTTCTCTGCTACAGGACTCCTTAGAGCCTTGACTGTGCTGTGGCTTTCTAAGAGAGGGTTGGGTCACACAATGCTTGTCAGCTCCTGGCAGGTATGGTATGCTGCCTCAGACTTTGGGTGCTGAGGGGTGCACCCTGGGAGATGCACTAACGGAGGCTGCCCAGTGTGCTGCTGTCCCTTGGTGCTGGGCCTTTCTCGCTTCTCCTCCAGCCTGGCTGCCTTCTCTGTAATTGTGTTCCCATATGTGTCCCATCTGGCTTGATACAACTCTGGTCACTGACCTCCAGAATATTCTAAGGCTTAGCAGAGGGTTGTGTCCTGAGATCACCTCCGTTGCTGGCAGCTGTTCAGAACCGAGAAGTAGGAAGGCTGTTGGTGAGGCTGGTGTGGCTGACCACACATGTGCTCTTTTGTTGCCTGCGCTCTGGCATGGGCAGGGGACCTGGGGGACCTAAGAATCTGCTTGCTCTGGGTTTACTCCAAAGGACTTTCAGAGCAAAGCAAGACACAATTTCAC